AATTTATAAATTTGGCACTTTTTAGTCACATGATTTTATATGTTTATATGTAATTTATAAATTTGGCATTAAAAAAAAAATTTACCGTGACTAGACGATATAAGCCAATAAGAAAATGTAAAATCATCGATGATTCTATAGAATAAAATGCAGTTGATGTATAATTATTATTGGATAATGATATAACAGAAAAGTTATCCTGTTGATTTTGATCTATAGTTTCATCATCTGATAAAATAAATGTAGTTGGACTTGCAGTTTCAACATCACTTAATAGAAAATCTGGTGATGTTTTCTGACCAATTTTTTGTTTTTGATTTTTTTTCATATTGTTTTTGCAGGATTTGTTTTTTGTATTACTATTGTAGGAGTCGTACTTGAATCTGGTGATATCTCCTGACTATTTTTTTGTTTTGATTTGTTTTTTGTATTGCTTCTGCAGTAGTCATACTTAAATTTGCTTTTCATGTTTGTGTTTTTCTCACTAGAGTCTTTTTCGCTGAAGTAGTTTCATTATTTAAAGCTATAAGCAAGATTATGTGTAGTATTGATTAAAAACATGATACTATAATAGGAACAAATATTAATGAATTTTTATAACATACCCTCGTTCTCGTCAGATGGTTTCAATTCTATATTATAATAATAAAAGTTTTAAATAAATAGATAATATTTATTTAAAAATTTTTCAACTTACCAAATTTTTATTTAGTCATATTAAAGTACAAATGAAAATTAGAAAAAGAAGTTTGTTTAAATTTAAAAATAACGATCAATTAAATACGAAAAAAAAAAATCAATTAAAGAATTATCCGGATAATATTTAATCAATTAATCACAAAAGTCTTTAAACATTCTAATTTTAAATTAATTAATCATAAAAGTCTTAAAAGTCTAAAAAAGTATTTATATCATAATTTTACATCAATCAATCGCAAAAGTCTTAAAAAATCTTTACATCAATCAATCGCAAAAAGTCTTTTATATCCTAAATTGATTAATATTTCCTAATTCAGAAATCAATACTGTAAATAAAGAAAATTCTGATAATTACAAATTATATAAGCAAACAATATTTTTTTTTTTTTTACTGTTTACAGTATACAGTTTATTTAATATCTATGTAGTCAATTTATATTTTATTTTATTAGTTTTAATAAAAAGTTTAATTATTATACTATAAAAGTATACGTATCATTTTTTCATTTTAAATCAATTGTTTTACTCAAATAAAAAAAAAATAATGAAACATCTAAAAAGAATTTCCCATACATATTATGCATCGATCCTGAAGTTACATGTTAGATCATCTAAAAAGATACAAAATGAAGAAGATAATGAATCTTCTATATCTTCTGATAATTCTTCAGAATATATTGATAATGTAGAAGGCGTCTCATATGATAATGTTTCAGAATATATTAATACAGAAAGTGTTGCTTTGATGGAAGACGTCTCGTATGATAATGTTTCAGAATATATTAATACAGAAAGTGTTACTTTAGCTATTGAAGAAAAACTGAAGGTAGAGAGCTCTAACAGTTATATCTTATCAGAAATAATAATAAATGAAATCAATTAATATATTTTAATATTATAAATCATAACGGATGTTATAGAAAATTTTAAAAATCCTAATAACATATATTTTATAATTTCAAGGATTTTGATGAGCAAATGTAAGACTACCAACTTCCGTATAAATTGTTACTTAATACTGAAGAAGAAGAATTTTTTGAAGATTATGATCTGTTAGAAGAAGAGTCTTCCAATTTTAAAGGCTTCGATAAGAAATATGGTCTATATTTTCCTAATTTTATATCAGCGATGCTCTTTATCTGAATTATCAAACATATGATATATGGGTATTATTTTGAATGAATAAGTTTAAAATAATTAACATACTAACATAATGATTTATTTACATAGCAACCTCTGCATATGAAGATCTCTTTAAGATTCTCACTCATCCTGAATATTGAAAAGAGGATCTTACTGCAAATATTTACTAGATTCGTAAATGGCGAGATAAACTAACATTAGTTAAAGTACGTAAATATGAAGTACCCTTTGTATATAATGAACACTATCTACATATGAATCTACTAAAACAGCATTTACCATTTCTCTGATAACATATTTGGAACGTATTTTAAATAATCTGATACTCATATTAAAGATACAGTCAACTCTTGTTATAACGAACTCTATGTCTTAGATCTCAACTTCACTATAAGGCTATAGTGAAGATTTTAAGAGATTTGATTGGCCAATTCGCTATAACAAGAGTATTTTTATTATATTTGTTCAAAAAATTCGTTATATTAAGAGTTCGCTATATCAAGAGTTGACTGTATATTTCAGACTCAAAGTGGTTACAGATGAATGATGAGAATTTTAGCATGATGAACTCTGGCAAGATTCACCAATGTTTAGAGAACATAAAATAGAAACCAACAACGAAGATTAGTAATAAATTTTTTATAAAATTTATGTTTTAAAAAATAATAACTATTTTTTTACTAATATATAAAGCAGGCAAATTTTTAGAATACCGTAAATAATCTTCAACATTCATATGCCATATACGAAGTATAGTAGTTGATGAAACTAACAATAATTCATTTAAACTAAAAATTGATCAAATATTTTCGCATGAGAATCTTCCTAACTGCTATTCAACAAATAACTGACATACTTATGGAAATAGTAACAAGTTATGGTTAGTTAAAGGTGAAGTAAATTTGGTTAATTTGGCGAATATAGAACAACATATTATTGTTTGATTATATGATATGTCAGAACCTGAAGAATATGAATATTATATCAAAAAAATTGTATATCAATTTGATGGTAGATGGAAATTCTGTGATATAAAATGTGGCATCGATTACCTTGTGAATATATTACATTCACATAATTACCACAACACCTTCCAATTTTAAAGATTTTTATAGACATTTATTTTGATGATTTTGGTACTTATAGAAATGTGTATCATTCCTTAGGTGGAGTATATTTACAGTTCAGAAATATGCCACTAATATTTCGAAAACAGTTAAAAAACTATTTTTTAATAGGATTTGTTTTATTTGAAGCAAATTTTGATAATTTTATTAAACCGGTTCTTTAGAATATAAAGAGTTTAGAAAAAGGTTTTATTATGAGAATTTTGAATGGTAATGCATTTGTTATAGGTGGTATTGGTTGCATTACTGCTGACTTGTCACAAGATAATGATTTGACGGATATGAAAAGACATAATGTTAAATACGAATGCTGAACATATAATGTTCCAAATGATTAATATACTAGTATTGATTATAACTATATAAAAATATTCGCTTTCACTAGCAAACTGAGGAACGGTTTTTAAAAATCACTAGACAAAATTCAAGAACAAGAAAAGAATGATTAGCAACTGAATATAGTTTAGCAAAACCAGGACTATTTAAAATACTTAAATAGGACTGACACCTTTAAATATCACATGACACATATCACTTTATGACTGAAAAAGCACGTACTCTACTGGAAGTGACGTTTAATGTGTTTAATATAAATGGTGAAAATTCTTTTATAGAGTATTAGAAACAGATCAAAAAGCCTACATATTGGTATCAAATGCCTAATCCATTATGACATCGCCAGAGTTTTATATTTTCTGATATGTTAAGGCTTGTGATGATAATGCCATTCATACTTAAATACTTTTTAAAACCTTATCATATAAAGACAAAGACTTTGAATAATTGGCTTACAACATCTGGGATAAGACAAAATTCAGCAGTATCAAAATTATGTATGTGTTGGGCAATTGAAGTTAAAGCACTAAAACTTGTATTCTCAATTACTATGACAGAAAATATTTACCAGAAATTATAGGAATATCTTAAAAGAGAATATGATATGCTTATACAGGTTAGTGAATGAAACTAAAGGTTTTAGCTACATTTATTAATAATTCATTTTAATACTATTTTTTAATTTTTTTTTATTTAATAGCTATTTCCAAATAACTTTATAAATCTTCCTAATTTACATATAAATATACATCTTTCACACTCGTAAATACTGCTGTTGGTGTGAAAGAAATGGTTCATCAGATATTTAAGGGAATGGTTTCACATATGAACTGTAAAGTGATCAAACTTGATCTTACCTAACGATATAATACAGTACAGGCATTACGACATCTCATTGATGGTTGAACAGACTCTTGCTTTAACACAAGAACTAGCACGCTAAAAAATTTAACTACAAATCTAAAGTTTTACGCAATATTATCAGGCTGATATGCTACAGAAAGTTCATTTACATTTATGAATAAAGAAGATAATGGTAAATATTTATTATTAATTTACAATGAAATTAAAATTTCTTAATTAAATTACATAACTGACTTTCAATATTATTTAGATATGATATCAACGGTATGCTATGACAAAAATTTTATTGATATTTCACTTTACAACCAATGGGATGCCAAAAAAATTAAGAGTAAAGGTCTATCGAAAAAGTTAGATGAAAATCATCTATTCTTTCAGGACCTATAAAGAGCATATGCTGATTATTTATATTCAAGTGCTGCAATAATGAATAAGAAAATAGAATTTTATAGTTCAATTGCATACACCATTCTCAAAAGTAATCAAGAACCTATATGATTGAAACTATGAATTGGTGATATTGTTGAACTAAATGAAGAATCTGAAGGTATTGCATATGCAAGGATCAATTCAATTATTCAGCATCAAGCAAACAACGGTCACTATTATGCTTTTTTATTTGATTAATTTTAGGTGACAGATTATATTGATACTGTATCATTTTATGATATCCAAAAGCCTGAAAAGTTGCGTTGGTATTAAATCTTTCCAATTAATTTTATCGATCATATATCTTATGTTCATTTTATACATAATTGTACAAATAAATATTGAGCATAATAAAACTAATCAAAATTATATTTTAAATGAATTTTATTACAAAGCAATATAGATGGATAAAATATTAAAAGATAGGAAATTTCAAACGTTTCGATTTGGGATTATTTATTAGATATTAGAAATCTAATTTTCATGTTATTGGAAAGAAAATTTTAATATATAATTTGTAAGATATATCCTATGTATTTCTTTTATATATATATTATAATATTAATATATTTTGATCATGTTTTCAACAGTTGATAAAAATATTATCTTTATATGTAAACTTATTTTAGACATAGAATAAAAATATTAAATTTACTTTTGTTTTATATTGTGAACATATTTTAGTTATAATTATATATATATATTAAACATATTTTTAATGTATGATTATTACATTATTATTATATGAATTTGGTATGTTTTTAACATATTTTTGGTATATGAAAAAAATATAGTTATAATAAACTTAACATAAATACATTTGCCATATACCTGATATATGTTAAAAATATTTTTACTATATTTTTTCAAATTGATAAATTTCAGTAAAAAATAGATCATTGTGTAGGATTTTTTAAAATGAAGAATAATCCTAGATACAAATTTTATATTTTAGATAGAGAGAAAATTTAATAAAATTATTATTACTATTTATTTATT